GCTCACAAACAAAAGTTTGCAAAGTGTACAGAGACAGCTTGGCTCCTTTCAGGAACCTTGCTTTATGTTAAGTATCCTTGAGAAACCACACGTTGCTGCTCTAGACCATTTAAGCCTAAAAGTTAATATATAACAGCTTGATTGAACCTTTTTTCTGTAAAAGTAAAAATGTTAGATTGTTAAGAAAACCATGAAAATGTTTTAAAAGTTGTTCCTGTGAATCATTATGTCCTGTTTTGAATGATTAATCACATTTCAGTTCTGTATCCTATCTAATCTAAAGAATTACATCCTCCCTTTGTGAATTACATCCTTCCTTTGTAACAAATCCCTCCCTAAAAAAGAGAATAAAAGACTGAGGTAGTGTAAGTTCTGGGTGCAATGCTAGGCAATATGTTTTCATAGATCTGTCTACCTGCCAGCTTGCATCATATCTATGTGTCTGTCTTTTTTGTATATATTTTGTCTCTCTCTTTCTCTATCCCTTTCGCCGCCAGATCTCCCTTCTTCATGACACCCACACTTCCTTGTCGAGGCTGGACCCCAACATAGGATCTCGACAGATAAGCACTGGACTGCTAATCACAAGGTTTACAGTTATAGTGTCACTAGGAGCCTTAATGGACTCATCGACACTTTACAAAAACAACACTGTGTGTGTGTGTTTATTTTCCACTTTTTCTAATAATCTATTTTTGAAATTATTTGATAATTAATTATAACCAATCTTTAATGTAATTCAATGTTTACAAATTTATAAATGTCATCGTACATCATAGTGAGAATCATATGTAAGAAAATGTTATTTCTATTCTCCAACTATGTGTTAATACTCATAATTGCAATATGCAAAGACAACTCATAAAACATCATAAAATTGTTCTTAAAACAATTCCTTTATGTTTTTATCAAACTCGTATATATAATTTTCATTTGTAATATTAAAAATAAAATTTCTTATTCATCACTGATCATTAACAAACTAAAAATAAAATCAGTTTAAATTTCTACTTGTTGCATTCGTTGGTTGTTGTCAAGTCAATTCTGATACATAGCATCCCCATGTGAACAGAGTAGAATTACTCTATAAGATTTTCAAATATGTGACCTTTTGGAAGCAGACAGCCAAGTCTATCATCTATGTTGCCCTTGGCTGGATTCAAATCCCAGCCTTTCAATTAGTAGTCAAGCACACACGTGTATGCACACACACACACACACACAAAAAAAAAACCACACATTTATATTATACATTATATATATAGTTTTTATTCTTAAGTGTCATCAAGTCAGTTACAACTTGTATAGGAGTTCCTGCCAACCGTGCAGTTAGCAGTCAAGTGCTTAACCTACTGTGCCACACCAGGACTCCAACTCCACTCCATATATATAGATTTAAGAGGTTGCAAATCTTTAAAGGAGCAGCAAGTCTCATCTTTCTCCCATGCAGTAGCTGGCTGATTTGAACTGCTGACCTTACGTTAAGCAGCATAACATGTAATTCACTTTGCTACCAGGGCTCTCTGGTCTCTCTCTTGGCCTCTCTCTCTAGTTCTGGTGTCGTGCTATGGGATAGAGCACTTGGCTGCAAGGATAATTTGAGCCACAAGGTTGACAGTTAACCCACCAGGCACTCCTTAGAAACCATATACGGGGTCGCTGTGAGTCAGAACTAACTCAACAGCACTGAACAACAAATATATATATATATATATATATGGTAGTTGTGGTCTGTGGAGTTGGTTCCAACTCACGGCTACTCTGTACATGGTTTCTGAGGCTGAAAGAATGGCTAGTAGTTTTGAACTGCTGACCTTGAAGTTAGCAGTCTGACTCATAACCACTATGCTGTCAGAAGTCAATTATATACAGAAACATTGAACTGCAAACCACAAGGTTGGTGGAAAAAGATTAGGCTTTCTGCTCTCACAGAGATTTACAGCCTGGGAAACCATATAGAGGGTCTCTGTAAGTCAGAAGTGACTCAAAGACACTTGACAACTAGAAACTGTACATCTTTCTTGGAGCAGAAAACCTCACCTTTTCCTACGGAGCAGCTGGAGAGCTCGAACCTCCAACCTTGTATTTGCAGATCAGAGCTTATGGTACAAAATAACTGCACTCCCACATATATAAACACACACACATATTTAGAAGAACTATGTTTTTTAAGACCTATTCTCTACATGTTATATAGTACAGTATTTAGTAGTCATTTTGTTGTTAGATACTGTTGAATTGATTTAGACTAATATTGACTCTGCACAGGGTTTCTGAGGAGTAGTTGCTAGTTATAGAGGATGGCTTCTTCCTAATTAAATCTAATCACATCAGTCAAGTCAGAGAAATAAAACAAAGCTATTAAAAATGTTATGGAATGATTAAATATATCATAGGCATTAAACCAGTAAAGGAGATCACGTTTTGTTCATCACATATTTTCCTATATAACCTCAGTTTCCATAATGCATTAAGGAGAATAAAAATCCCTTCTATAATGCAAGGTTGAATAAATATATTTATTTTCAGTTTTGGTCATTTTTATCATTGAAACCCAGTCTGTTAGTTGCTGACTTCTGTATGTTTGAAGGTATGCATATGCAGACAATGAAGTGACTTTTGCAGACAAACATGCAAACAAAAATTTCACCTTACCACAAACAAAATATTGATTTAAATCTTACAGTGTGAAAAATATTTCATCAAGCAAACCAAGATGTTACATTTAGATCTTAAATCTATATGTATGAGCTGTCATATTATTTGGGGGGTATATTCATAAAATGTATGATTATAAAAATCATTAGAATATTAAGCATAATCATCTTTCAAATCAGATACTACATTTTTCTCACCCAAATGTAGGAAAATCTGGTCATGCAACTATAATTTATGTTCCTTACTTTGTAAATTGTTTTTTTGGGGTGTTGAGCGTACATATTTCCCAAAGAGACTGCCCTATGGGACCTGAGTTGTATTAGAAGGAGTGGCAAAAGGCTGCTTTACCTCTGGGGCAAGAAAGGGTATCTAAAATCCTTTTTATACTTGAAGCAGAAAAATAACTTAACTATACAATTCCATTTACTTTCCATAAAAACTATACTATGCTAGGAAAATGTAGTTTTTGTTGCTCATTCCCAATCATATTGTAGAGTCTTTGTATAGAGTAAATCCTAAATAAATATCTGAACAAACAAAAAGAGTTTTGAAATATTGTTTGATATAGTATTAAATAAGGAGCTTTTCTTCTTACCACAGTCTGCAACACTGTTTGTTCTAGATCCTGTGACTTCATTTCCATATCTGTCAACACACCAGCACTGCCCAAGACTACCCTGACATTGTGTTGGTTTATAATAGCCATCTTCATCACATAGTGGAATATACAGTCCTGTGAAACATACACAAACACACACTTATATATGCAGAGAATTGTACTCCTTTTTGATTGGAATTAATTCTACATAAATGTATCCAAGATATACACACAGTGAATGCTTACTACACTTCAAGCTATAGAGTAATGATACACGGAGGACAAAACAGGTAAGATTGCTGCTATCATGGAACTGTATGCTGTCATAGTGAACATCTTACATTTTATAAATTCTTTCCTAATTTCCATTCTTTCCATTTGACATTCTACAAGGATAATAGTTTCAGAGATAAAATTCAAAATTAAGATCTCATTAATGCCAAGCCCAAAGTAGATTATTCCAGGCCACTTAGCATCACACACTCAATCCTTCAGTGTCTGGTCAATGCAAACTTCCTATCTTAATTTTTGTCAATTTCAATTCATATACTCCTCGCTCTTCCTATATTAAACTGTTTCCCCTACATTCGATGTTGTTTCATGTTTCTAAACTCCTATTATCTCAATGAGAATCTCTCTTTTCCTCCTGTTTGAATTGATCACCTATAAAAAAAAATATCAAACTAGAAGTTTAATGATATACTACTTCCATAATATATGTGATGTATAGGCACACAGGTATAAAAACATACAAGGGTAAGTAAAAAAGTACTGCTACCAAGAATCCAGTTTATACATGTACAGAGTTATTCAAATGCTAGTAGAAATTGAGTAAAATCATACTTTTTCATTCCATGTTTCCAACACTACACTTCAATACATTTTATGCTTAGAGATATTTAGGTTGTGCTTCCTTGTATTCCTTGTTGTATAAAGAAAATCTCTTAAACCCTACAGTAACCGGATATATAGATATTCATGTTCATAGCTATAATATTTAACATTTCCTCGTACATAGTTGGAGTCCTGTTGTAGCGCTGTGGGTTAATGCGCCAGACTGCAAAGCCATTTTTATTGCAAGGTCGGCGGTTCAAGCTCACCAGCTGCTCCTCGGAAACGCTATACAGGGTTGCTATGGGTCGGAACCAACTCGATGGCACTTAACAACAACAAAGAACATAGTTAGGCTACATTTTTAATGAGTAGTTTAGAAGTACTCAATAAATATTCCAACACCAGGATATGAACTATAGGAAATTGTGAAAAATTTCCTGTCATCTTTGTCCATTTCTTTTTTAATGACCAGACACATTGTAATTATCTGTTGATTAAAAAAAATGAATGACTGTATGCCAGGGAGTATGTTCCAATGGATAGAAACCCTGTATAGGCTTTCTGAGGCTCTTCTGTTGAATCGCTGGTAGTTTTGAACTGCTGACCTTGATGTTAGCAACCCAACTTGTAACCACTATGTTGCTAGTGTGCCTTCAGAAAATGAATACATGTTTAAAATATGAAACTATTTAATTAAACTTGTAGCCATACCAGTACATCATTTTACTCTTAAAAATGTTTAGTAATTCTGATTTTTAAAAATGATGGATTTTAGTTTAAAAATTACAATTCATTTGAAAGAATTTTACTATTAGTCTTTAAGTGAAGTAGACATCATATCACACATGGAAAACTTGAGAACACCTCAGATAGATTTAAAGTCCAGCTATAAGAAGAAACCATATCAACTATTTCCACAACCTTAAAAAATGCTATGCTATGACATATGGTTAATGGGGCAATATAGCTGTGTTTTTATGCTAGTACACTTTGAAAGTTCAAGAGAACATTATTCAGAATTATGCTACAGCTGCAGGCATCAACCAGGACAGAACTGACAAAGAAGAACATATGGTAGCCTACTGCTATATTAAAAGTAATCTATTTTAAGGGAATAGATAATTGGGTTGTTCTACTCAAATGAGACAAATTATTTAAGTCATTCAATACTCTGCAGTAATGATTTTCACTTATACTGGAATAAATGTGTTCTGTGATAAGCATTATATTTTGTTTCTCTGTAGCTACAAATAATCAAAACCAGAATTTTAATGCATTTTATCATTCATAAGACTTGATCAAGTCTAAAATAATTTTCAGCTGAATTTTAATGCCTTTTCGTATTGTGAAAACATGCAAACTTATTTATGAATGCATTATTTTCACTTCAAAGCTCTAGTACCTCATGCCTACCCATTTGTTGGCTGAAAATTAAACTACAGGTGAATTTAATTTTAGGCTTGACGTGTATCTAAGGGTCAAGTTTCAGGGTTCCACCAGTCTCTATCAGAGCAGTAAGTATGGTCTTTGTATGGTTTTGAGTTTTGTTCCACATTTCTCCTAATCTGTTCAGGACCTTCTATCGCGATCTCTTTCAGAGTGGTCAGCAGTGGTTCATGGTCACTCAGAAGCTTTTAAGACACCAGTCACTATTCCTGTAGAACATTGTCTTTGTGGACGATGTTATGCCAATTGATCTTAGAGTAACCCTGATACTATGGTTCTGAAATTCAAGGGACAACAAATATTTAGCTCAAGTTGTTTGGTTATGGCTAAGAATTTTTCATAATTTTACAACTTGTATTTATGGATACAGAGTCCTGTGGGTTAATGTGTTGAAATTAAATGTCAGTTTGAACTGCAAGGTCGGTGGTTCAAGCTCACCAGTTGCTCCTTGGTAAACCTTTATAGGGTTGCTATGGGTCAGGGTAGTGGTTACAAATCGGGTTGTGAACCGCAAGGTCAGCAGTTCGAAACTACCAGCTGTTCCGCGGCAGAAAGATTAGTCATTCTGCTCCCGTAAAGATATACAGCCTCTGAAACTCTGTATAGGGTCGTTATGAGTCAGTTCCGACTCCACGGCACATAACCACCATGGGTCAGAACCGACTAGATGGCATTTAACAACAACAACATTTATGGATATATTCACAGCACATATAAATACTTATGTAGAATTATCTTCTGTCAAACCCATATATATTTGTGGGCCTAGGAATCGGGCTGTGAACCTTAGGGTCAGCGGTTCGAAACTACCAGCCGCTCCGCGGGAGAAAGATGAGGCTTTCTACTCCCGTAAAGATTTATACCCTCGGAAACCCTGTACAGGGTCGCTATGGGTCGGACCCGACTCGATGGCACTTAACAACAACAACAACAAGTCCTATAAGGAGCTCTGGTAGTGTAGTGGTTACAAATCAGGCTGAAAACCTTATGTATATGGTCGCTATGAGTTGGTTCCGACTCCATGGCACATGACTATCATCACCACCACTCTTATTTGCTAAACTTCATCTCTCATTCTTTGGACATATTGTCAGGAGGGAACAATGGCTGGAGAAGGATGTCATGCTGGGTAAGATGGAGGGTCAGAGAAAAAGAGGAAGACCCCTACCAAGATGGACCGGCCAGGTGGCATCATTGATGGTGTTAAGTGTGGCAACGGTACTGAGGATGGCCCAGGATCAGACATTGTTTCGTTCTGCTGTGCATGGGGTTGCTATGAGTCAGTTATGACTCGATGACACCTGACAACAATAACAACAACTCCTATTTGCAATCCTGTTTTTATTCTGCATGAGCGTATGTATGTATTCACTTGAAGATTGTTGTAATTAGTTATTGTAGGACTGTGTAATATACTTATTACATAATAAGTTTATTATGTAATAACATAATAAAATTACCTTTGTTACCAAATACTATAATAAAATATGCAAAGAATTGGAACCGGGAAACCAAAAAGGAAGAACACGGTCAACATTTCTCAAACTGGGGGAACTGAAGAAAAAATTCAAGCCTCGACTTTCGTTATTGAAAGATTCTCTGGGCAAATTATT